CACACACACACACACACACACACACACACACACACACACACACACACACACATACACACACAGGATAATTAACATCTGCTACTCATCTGCACCTAAGGGAGAAGCCAGTCCCATATTCTAAAATCTAATCAATAAAGAGCAGCTGAAACCTTTGATTTGACTGGGTGGAGTGGGAGAGTCTGGGGGGGTCTCAGGATCCGACCCCCCGATGTCAATGTATTCCATTTCAATTCCAGACTTAAAGAAAGTGATCCTCTTAGTTACTTAAGGAGACTACACGGGAGCATTGGTGGGATTGATTTATTTAGGGAAACACTGACGGATTTCTCTGCCTTGTTCTGCAAATATTTGATTTATTTTATTCTTTACGTTATCAAGTAAAACCAACACCTCCGTTTGTTTAAAGAGACTGGAGGTTAAACCTGAAGCAATCTAGACAGTTTAGCCAATTTAATTAGCATCCAATTACACTGTCATTATTTTAGGAATTTCAGTTTTTCTCAGTTTATGTGATAAAGTTATAAAATTTTAGGAGCCACCAACATATATTTTTCCTTCTTCTGTCCAGCTGCTCTGTCTGTTTGGGGGTTTCCCCCCTAATCACCGTTTCAGCATCAGATTTATGTTTGACACTTCAGGCCATGCCGTGAATCTTCAGCCGAGCAGCTGCATCAGCATTCGCCGCTGTCACAAGTAATGATGTGACGGCGACGCCCGTGCAAACAAATGTGAATAACCAATCATTGTTTTGTCCACCTGACTTATCTGGTGGTAAAACTGGTAGGAAGGAGATTTAGCCTGACCAGAACGTTTGTTTATATTTGTATTTTTTTTAATTGAGCCAGCTTTTGTAAACGTCAAAGTCCCCAACTTTGACTACTGCCAATGACACCATGTCCCCAACTTGTACGACCCTGCAGGTGATGGGTTCACAGGAAGGCAAACCTGTGTTTCTCATTAGGGATGAGTCCTAGCTCCAGAATGGGCCCTGACAGCCCACGTTTGAGCAAAAATGACACTGAGTTCCTTGATTTTGTTCTGTCCATACAAAAGTTTTGAATTGCTCTTTGTCTGGCCTGTCACCTCCAAATCTGAGTCTGGTCCTCAGTCAGAAAAGGCTGGGTTGCTTTTTGGGTTGGGGGTGAGGTTGTGCCTCAAGTGGAGTTTGCGTATCTTGGGATTTTGTTCACAAGTGAGATTGACAGACAAATCGTTTGTGGACTCTGTACCAGTCTGTTGTGATGAAGAAAAAGCTGAGCTGTAAGGTGAAGCTCTCTGTTTACCCTCACCTATAGCCAAGAACTTCAGGGTAGTGAACGAAAGAAAGAGATTGCGGATATGAGCGGTCAAAATTTGTTTTCTCCACTGGATAGCTGGGCTCTCCCTTAGAGATAGGGTTAGATGTTCAGTTATCCAGGAGAGGAGCCAGTTGAGGTGCTTCGCAGTGGTAGGCACGAGCCCGCTAAAGCGCAAATCCGCGGACCTAAATATTTCATTTGTGCTTTAGCGGTTTTATTAATTTTTACAATTCATAAGCAGATTTGCGCTTTTTTGAAATTAAAATGCAGTATCGCTAATAACTAATTATCTACCAGTCATCATTACCTTGAACAGCGGAAGGTAAGGCTGTCAAAGAATCACAACACGTGATCTGTCCGACAGCACTCCTCAGATAAACACACTTATTGGAAAGGTATACTGACATTTGCTCTCAGTCACGGTTCTGATTTCCCACAATGCTTTGTGTCTGCTTACGTAGCAGGAAGGCAGTGTTTAGAACTCCCTGTCCCAGCTAAAACAGTTAACGTTTGTAATCTATACTAAAATTTTGTATGTATTGATTTATTTTACTTTACAATCGGAGCTCCTTTTTCAAAAAAATAAAGTTTAAGCGCCGGAGCTCAATACTTGACGTAATTGGTCGAAGCAACGGGGTTAGAGACACAGAAATGATTTAAAGATGTTATGTTGATGAAGACTGACATCTAGTGGTCAACTGGAGCAACTACATGGAAAACTTTAAAATCCAAGCTGTTATTTTGAAGGGAAGATAGTTTCCTGTGCTGCGTGCTTTCGTTTCCCATCACAAATCACATTCGTCATGTACCCAGAATGCATCGCTTCAGTTTTCCAATTACTGTACTGATGCTTCTTTAATGAAAAATCTACAACAAACAAAAGAAAACAGACAAAGAAGCAGCCGAAATAGCAATCCTCAACAACTTATTAATTTTTACACCAGGAGCCAAAGGTCTGTTTCAGGAACTCACATCCCCAGCAATCGGTGGTTGTAGGAATAAGCCGTAAAAGGGTTCATACACCGCTTGTTGGCGATGTTGTGCATATATTGTACATATATTATTGCCATCTAGTAAGTGTCAAATTGAACTTGCGCTTTAAAATTAGCTTCCGCTAGCTTTTCTATGGCATAAGTGCTTTTGAGGTTGCGGACCTAAATATTTACATAAGCACTTTAGAAATTGTGGAGCTAATTTTTGGATTAGCACTGCCCACCACTGGTGGTTTGGGCATCTCCTGGACGCCTCCGTAGAGAGGTGCTTCATTCATGTCCGACTGGGAGGAGACCCAGGACACGATGATGAGACAACCGTTTGTCTCTCGTTTGGCCTGGGAACGCCTTGGAATCCCAGAAGAGCTGGAAGAGGTGGCTGTGGGAAAGAAAGGGTCTGGGCCTCCCTGCTCAGGCTGCTGCCCCCGCGACCCGACTTCAGAAGATAGTGGATGCTACTTTATCGCTTGTAGCTTAGCTTACAAATAGCATTAATGGCTAAATGACAAGCTAATGCCACACAGAAACAGTGAAAGAACTGGTAGATTTACAGTTGAAAAGGAAGTA